AAAGAGGCTCTTCTCTGCACTTTCCCCCCCAAAAAAAAAAAAAAAAAAGAAAAAAAAGAAGAGAGGAATCAAAGCATTTTGAGAAAGCTGTTTCTTTCCAGATCACTTAACATGATTTTTCTTTGAAATTGTAAAATTAAAATAAAGAAAGCCAAGGGATACATTTGAGCCACTGCTTTCTTTTTGGAGGCAATTAAAATTTTCTGTCCTCTCTACACTGCAGTTGTGAACTTGGAAAGAATATTTAAAGCCTGAAATCCCCTCATGGTCTGAGGCTGAAACAACTTGCAGTTGCCAAGACAGAAAAATCAGACTATTTTCGTGTTGTATGTGATTGTTAATACTCTGAAAACAACTGAGCAGCAGMCATGTTGGAGAATATCCTTGGTATGATCGAAATGGTGATGAAGATCAGGGACATAAATTTGAGTTTGTTAACAATGAAAGCAGAAGGGTAGGAATGAGCAGACAGTTTCAGATATGAGCATGCAGTGTCCAAAGATGGCACCAGTCAGAATATACCCTTTGTACCACATCTCACACACAGAGGGCATTAAAAAGGGAGAGTTGAGTCAAAAGGGCCCAGATGCCTACAACAGCATGCAGGTGAATTGTATCGAAAAGGAAAAAAGAAAAAAAAAGGAAGCATGGAAATACAGTGTTTTTTTAGCTATTCGAATCTATAGCTGTATAAAACTCGGTAATGACTCCTTTGCTGAAGAGAAGGCTCTCTCTGCACCTTTCTCTAGGAGACCAAAGAAGCTGGAGGAATCTGACACATCAACAAGCGAGAGGACTCTGACACATCCTGAGCTTCACACTCCTCCTGGATGCCCCACAGCAGCCCTGTCCTCACCTGTGACCTGTCTGGTTCCCTGCTCCATGCTCGACATTTGTGCTTTCACACCAGTGCTCCATCACCATCACTGTCACTGTCTAGCCTTCACGAGGCAGAGGCTGAAAATTGTATTTTATCTACTATTTATCACTTTTGGTACACCCAGCAGCCCCCCAAATCCCCGTGAGGTGTGCCAGGAAGGTGGCAGAAACAAGCTTGTGGGATGAGCTGGGATGAGGGCCAGGATTAGCAACAGGACGAGAGGACATACTCTTTAACTGTCCCAGGGGAAGTTTAGGTTGGAAATCAGGCAGCATTTCTTCATTAAAAGGGTGATTAAACATCGGAATGTGCAGCCCACGGCGGTGGTGCAGCCACAGTCCCTGGAGGCGTTCAAAGAAAGCCATGATCTGCTTGAGACAGTGGTGTACGGCCATAGGTTGGACTCGGTGATCTCACAGAACTTTTCCAATCTAATTAATTCCGTGATGGCAGGAGGCCCTGTGAGACCACTCACTACTGGACGGGAAGGAGATTTGGCCACAGTGACCTGCACCGGCCTTGCACCTCAGCCGTGAGGCGCGATGGCGGCGGGGCGGGGCGGGCTCGGAGAGAAGGGAAGGAGGGGAAGCCGCCCCCGGGGAGGGCGGAGCGGCCGCCGCGGGCCGGACGCGCTCCGGTTGCCGTGACAACGGCGTCGGCCGAGCCCGAGCGGCCCGGACCAGGCGGGCCCRATTTGCCCGCCCGCCCATGCCGCGGAAAGCGCTGCGCTGCGTGCTGCAGCTGGAGCTCCGCTCGGTGAGTGCCCGGGCCGCGCTCCCCGCCCGCCTCAGCCGCCAGGAGAAGCCGCCCTCGGCTCTTCCGGCGTSGCTTCCCGCCCCGCTTTCCTCTGCCGGCCGCCGCCCCGGGGGAGCTTCTGGGGGCTGCTGCGGGCCCTGCTGCGGAGCGGGAGCCGCGCTCCGTGTGACACTGCAGCCCCTCTGTGTGGGCATCCTCCGGCTGCCGGGCCTTGAGCCCCTCGTTGGGGTTGCAGCAGCCGTGCCCCTCCACAACTCCCGTTTTCCTGTGGAAAAGTTGTGGGGGATGTTTGTCCCTGTGGCCCCATCACCCCCCGTTGGTGTTAGCGGCAGCTGTGCCTCTTTAGAGTTATCATARTGCTGTGGAAAATGTGTTTTTTAGGACGCTAATTCTTGGGAAGCTGTGCGATGTGGGGGAGGGAAAAAAAGCCAAAAACAAAAATCAAAATAAATCCCACGGAGGAGCATCTTGTGCATGGCAAATGCAGCCCTGTGAGGAGCAGGGTGTGGCTCTGGGCATCTCTGAAGCACCTGGGTGTTACRTGGTGGGGAGTGAGGCAGTAGGTGTGAAAGTGGTAAGTTTTGACATTAATCATGTTAGGACTGTACTCTTAGCACTTGGCAACGTTTTCTGCTTAAATCCAAGCTGGGAGTACCGCAAGGATCTGTATCATTCTGAAAACTTTTCAGAAGTAGCTRTGTTAGACAGTGCCCTGTAACCCCGGACTTGCTGGTTTGATATGCCCTGGTCACTGTAATCCAGAACAAATGCTACCATATGTGTAAGAATACCTGCCATCCACAACACTCAAGTGCAGATCCAGGAAGTACCTACTGGGAAATGGACATGGTATTCCTGGTTGCTTAGCTACCCTTGTTCCCAAACTGGAGTGGCTGCTCTGAAGCAGAGCTGTGGATTTGCACACATGGATGGCGAGGGTGTCACCCTGGCGGTGTTGCTCTGCTGTCTCAACAGCTGGTGTTTGTCTCCACAGTGCCAAGGCCTGCGTGGTTTCTGGAGCGGAGCAATGTGCTTTCCTTTCCTTTTCTATTCCCACTGGCTGTGAACTGTTCTGGTGCCAGGAGAGAGTACAGGGAAGATATTTCCCCAGGGYCAGGCTTTCTGTTGTGGGGTATTTGTTATTTACCCTGCTCTCAAGGCTACAAATAAGAATGGGAAGAGACTATTCTTACACAAATGTCAATGCTGGCTTTTCACTTAAGGAATTTTTTCTTTCCTTGGTGTTTGCTCTCTTGATGTATTTTTWGGGCAGCAGTTCTTTCATTTTTCAACTGATCTTTGTCAGCTAAAACAACCTGGTTCTTTCTTTTGGTTGTACTTTGTGTGATGGACTCTCCAGCCTTCTGACCATCTTAGGGACAGGAGCTACACTTCCACTTTGAATTTGCATTGGTCAGAGTCAGAATTGAACCCTGCATTCCAAATGGGGTTTTGCTTTTGTCTTAGGTGATGTAGGGAAAAATGTCCAACTTCCATCCTATATATCCTGTTATGAGTCAGAGTCATTAAATATGTTAAAAGGCATGAATCCCAGTATACAGAAAAGAGTGGTTTTAATGGTAACCTCAGTTTGATGCCTCCTGGTTTTTGCACATTACTGATGCTGTCCTTTGGCCAGTTCTGTACCACCTTTGATACCAACTCCTCCTCTACTTACTGCTCTTATGTTTTTCATCATAAATAATGCATGATATCCTTTATCCAGAAAACATTCTCAAGAAATCCAGATTTTCAAGAARATGTAGAATTTTGCTTGATTGATCAGTTTTTATAGAACATGCTCTGCTGGGCTTTTTTCTAGTGATATTTTCCTCCATATCTTTATTTTTGTATATTTMAATATTTTGATCAATGGGGTTATCATTTTTCAGATCTCTCTTTCTGTCTCACATGGTCCTTGTGTTTGTTATTTTTCAGCTGATTCTACCTTCCCTGTTTTCATAATGTTTCATTTAAGGAAATGACTTTCTTTCACAGATTGGGCTGAAGATGATTCAGCCTCCTTGTGGTTTCCTGGTYCAGGCCCAGTGCATATTGGGTGACTTTTGTTTCCATCTTTTAATTCTTTAAATTGTCTTTTTTCTCCTTTGTTAAATATCATTAAAACCAAGGCAAAATACTYAGTTGTGTTTGGGACATAGATTTATTAACTTTCACATCTTGGTTGATTTATGCTACATCCATTAATTATCTCCTTGTTTGCTTTGTTGGTGACCAAAGTCTTGTCCAAATTTCCAATCCATTTTCCTTGCCTTTTATCGTGCTCTGCATATTTTTCAATCCTCTTTGAAATCTGGCCAGTTGTGTCAGAGGTTCTCTTCTCTTGTTTTTCCCTTTAGGATACAGTTGGGTTTTATTCTTTAACTTAATGAAATTCCAATATGTTTTCCAACATGAGTCCACCAGTTCTTTGATTTGTCTTGCTGGTAGTTTTCTTAATTTCTGAGAGGCTGCTTTTCTCAAATGAMAGACGTTACTTAAAGACAAAGGGGTTTTTTTTGTTTGGTTTATCCTGCCATGGACTGTGTGTTAAGTGCTATAGAGGACTGAGAACTGTTCCTTTCCATGAGCTTAATTCAGTGATTTCTTTATGGCTATTTGTGATGTCCCAGCAGTGGGATCATCCTGGGAACTTTCAGCAGAGATGTCCAGGATAACACTGCCCTMGAAATTTCTCACAGTCCTCCGGGTTTCTTGTGAGGTCAGTTAATTGCAGCACTAATACCCCTCTTCCTTAGCTGATCCATAGATAACACTATTACAGTATTTAAAATAGTCCCTCATCCTGCTGGAGCAGTTTGCAGTCAGCTAAGAGCTTCAGTTTGTCTCCCAAGTGTTAYGCAGCTCTGCATATTACAGAAGAGGTGTCATGAACTGCAGATATTCATGTGTTATTCATTTTTGGAACTGCTTTAAAGTTACATGGCCATGTAAGTTTGGTGTTCCAGCCCAGGTAATGAATTGTGTGTTTTCTCTCTGGGTAGTAGAATCACACGTTTCCACATGTGCTATCTTGGCCTACATGCTCATTTGTGAGAATTTGTTTTCTTTTTACAAGATAGCCAGAAAAATGGCTTGGGTTGTCAGCAGTTTTGCCYGCTCCAGAGTCTTCAGGTCTTTTACTTCTCATCTCAGTAAATAGGCAAGYATTGGTTACCTTCTCTAAGGTGAAAGGCATAAAACTCCGGCCAGAAATAGTTGTAAATACTACAAAAATGTCAAAGACAAAAGTGAGAGGTAAAGCTGATATGACATAGAGTATGTAGTTTGGGGGATCTTGCCTTCTATGAATGGAATCTGTCTCTCTCTCACTCCTGTTCACACTTGCAACTGCACGCGTGTCATACAAGCTGTTTAATGCTTGACAGACTGTTTCAATTGGGTTTTCTATTTTTCTGGCACTTTTCTTTCAGATTGAAGCCCTCATTTACATGGAGAAGAAACCTTGTTTTCCATCTTGGATATTTATGTGTAGAAGGACTATTTTTTTACCTAATACTTTATGTGTAATGATCTATCACTCATTGTTTTATTTCTTCTACCCGAAGCTGTTTTTCTGCTGTTTATATAGCTTTCTTTTAAATCCAGTTAGGATTTCTCAAGTAAAATGCTCACTTGGGARTAGAAGACTGTAACCAAACCACTTATTTTAATTCCCATCACTCTCCTCTTTTGTCTTTCTACCTGGCAAWTGAAACTCTGAACACTTTCTTCAGAAACCTTATGTTGGAAGACATAACTTCATATTTCTAATACTGAGATAAAAAATGAGCACAGGATCTTAAGTGGAAGCTGTTAGTTCTCTGTCTGGGAAATAGAATAAATCCATGGGGCTTGGAGAAAACAGCAAATAGTTTTGCAATGAGTTGTGTACATCCTTGCAATTAGAACATAAGAAAGAACGTCTGATTTCTATCAGAGTTTTAAAAAGAACAACATCTTACTTAAAAAAAATTAAGAATTGTGCAGAGAATGTTGAGAGATTTGTGGCAGTATGTGGCAGCCTAGCAAGAACCKTTCTCTGTCTTGAGGTTAAAGATGGCCAGACTTCCTGGAGAAGGGAAGAAATGTGGCGGTAATGGAACAGTAGTTATTTTTTTCTAATTTACAGGTTAGAGCACAAAGTTAATACAAAATGTGCAGATAAACGTTTGTGGCTGGACAGAGTGTGGATATACACACATGTAAATKTACCAGCTTCATTCTGTAGTTAGTCTTAAGTTTGGGTGGGGTTTTGTGTGTTGGCATCATATAGATTTCATTCCACATGAGTCTTCCTACAGAAGATGATGTCTTACACAGTCAGTGCATGCCTTTAACTGCATTAACCTAGCCTTGGGTTTCAGTTTATTTTCAAGACAATGGAGTGTGTTTACTTAAGCAAGGTGGATTTGGTCCTGATTATTTTTAAATGGTGACTATTTTTCCTGGCCTGTCTGTACAAATAGAATTGCTTTAGAGAAGAATTTTTTTCTCTCTAGTCTGTTATATTCTGACTTTGATAAATCAACCATTTCAGTCCCGACCGTTTCATTTTTATCTTGGAAACAGCCATTACTTGTCTAGCTAAAGTTCAGTTTGTTTAATGAGTGTGTTACTCCTACAGGTATCTTGTCCTGGAGTGCTACTGAAAGACAAACAGGAACTTTATCTCAGTGTCTTTGTACTTGGGCAGTACAAAAAAACTAAATGTGTCCCTGCAGCATTTCCACTCTTCTTTCATGAAAATCTACTATTTGAAAAGGTAAGATATGTCAAGAGCTGATAGAACCCAAATAAACCCCATTGCAAATTCCACAAAAATTCTCTGCAAAACCCATGAGCACAAATAATCACACTGAGGGTGGTGCAGTATTTTAACCCCTGCTTCTCTTCAGCACAAAGGAGGGGTATGACTGTATTATCCATATAGGAACTTGAGAATTATGTGTACTGAAAATTCTAAGGTATGATGAGACCTTTTAGGTGTTTGTCAATTCTTCTGTGAACTGTCCTTCCTCAGTATCTCTTTTGCTGGCTTGGAAGGGACTGAATGTTTTTGTTCTAAAAATTATGGCAAGGTGAAGAACAGAGACTGTACAATATAGGAGAGTCAATTTAGTAGAAAGATAAAATAGCAGCTCAAGCCTTTTTGGTGACATCTTACTCCCTTTGAGATATGTTTTTCATGGTTTGTCACCAGAATTCCCAGATTGGTACTCTGGCCCTGTAATTTATAGTTGTTTATCACATATTCTGAGTCCCTACTAGCTTCATTATTAGTACCACAGGGATAATGAAACACAGTAGCTTACAGATATGATCTGGCTTCTTGACTACCTATGAATAATAATACTTTGCCCTTTCTAGTTCTTTTCCTTGAAGCATTCCCCAGCACTTTGAAAACCAGGCTGAGTAAAACTTCAGTGATGCTCTGGTGAAGTGGGTAAGAAAYAAACAGTGATAATTTTACTGCCTACTGAAGAGTAGAAAAGACCAGCATTCTTTAAAGGCAAATATACCACAAACTTCTTAAGGGGAATGCTGTTTGCAGTGAAATGTAGGGGACCTCCCTCCAGTACAGCTATTCCTTGCCATCTATTCACATGAGATTCAGGTTAAAAAAAAAAACCTGAAGAGAAGCCTATACATGAATGGTCACTTCTATGAAAGTGAAGCTTAAAGCATTACTAATMAATTAAAGAACATCCATCTATCAGGATTATAGTACGTTCAGCAATTTATGTTTCTCTGTTGAAATTTTCTTAGTACTTACCTCTACATCCTCAACTCTTCACAATAAATTATTTTTGTAATTTAAATACAGAGAGGTAGCTCCGTGTGGATAGAAAGCATATAACAGAACTTTTGGCTTTCAATGAATTTGATCATGTTCCAAATGATAATTTTAGTATCTTTTCTTTTTCCAGTGGGGATARGACCCTTTACAACCATCCTGGCAAGGAAAAGTGTTGATTTTTGGATTTTTTTTTCCTTCTCTGTCCCAGGAGGTCCATCTGATTACTTGGACTATGTCAYTATTATTATTCATTAATTTATTTTTCAGGCATTTGCTAATGTAGTTGATCCTGGAGACGTTGTGAAGTTACTGGAATGTAGGTTCTGCTTTTTTGTACACTATGTTTTATCCATTAATGTCATGAATGTATGGGTTCTTRAAATGTTTTGGAGGTTTTAAGTATATGATAGTTTTTCTATCAGGAGCCTGTTCTCTGAAAAACTAGTAGGTAGCCACTGTTATCTAACAAAATGCCTCTAGAAACGTATGTCACATGCTTTGGAACAGGAAAAAGGTAAAAAGTCGTAAGTGTTCGAAAGTGCAGCTGGTTATCTGGTAGTGGGTTCCTTTAAATGGTCATTTATTTGATTAATTTTCAAATTATATAAGGATAAATCTCCAATCTTTGTTAAATTATTCTTTTCATTTTTTAAGAAAATTATGTCTTGCCACATGTGTATAATGAATTRTAGTGAGAAAGCACTGACCTGAACTCAAACTGCAGGAATATGGGCCCTCATATTGGGAGTTATCTGAAAAGGGGGCAGAGCTCTCAGAATCTTCTTTAAAAGATGACAAACTTGGCAACAGATATAGAACTTACCAAGTTCTAAGTCAGATTTAGTGTTGTCATTTGTACCCTGCTAATGCCATTGTGTTCATCTCGGATATTTATGCAAGCTGTACTTAATTTTATCTTATTATTGGTGTGGAGGAAATAGTACAGCAATGTGCAGTACTGTGAAGCTTAAATCAGTGATCTGTTTTGCTTGGGCTTTGACTATGGGAATTTTCATTTTAGTATTTTTTAACTCATRAAAAAAACTTCTTTCCCTTCTAGTTGACACATTGACGATTGAACTCATACAGCTYGTTCCTCCAGGTATTGTATCAGTGTTTTCATAAATTATGCAGTTTAATGAGTGAATTTCCAGGAGGACATTGCCCCTTACAGCACAATCACTTTTTCCAGCATRCAAACAACATAGAAAGCTCTTCAGCAAATAGTCCTCTGAATCTAAAATGTTAATAGATCAAGAGGATCTCATTCTTGAAAGAGAATAATAACTGAATATTGAAATGTATCATACTCAGGCTTAGGAAAGTGATAATATTTTAAAAATGGAAAATAAACTGAAATCATCCAGTGCATAATTATTAACTGCATCACAATTCACTTYCAGAGAGGCTGTCTGTGAAATTTCAGAGTGCATAATCTTGTTCTCRGAATGACACTTTTTTCCTTCCATTTTAATGGTGACCATTGGGAAAACTCTTATCCTCACTATAAGTATTACAGGTCTCCTGGGATGTGTGAAGATAATAAATAGCGATTTGTCATACTTCTGTTATTGGTTTGTGTGATTATAAAAATCTATTTTAATGAAATTCAAGTGTTCCCATGAATAATGTAAATCTGCATTTTATTGGAAATAAAGTCAAGTTTTAAAGAGGACTCATTTGGAAACTGWGGTATTAARAGCACTCTCTGTCATTTGTCCTTAGTACTTTCAAGGAAACTATTTCTTGTCTCAGGTGACTCACCAGACTGTTTACTTGAAGAAATGTAGTGAATGGGTTTTTTTTTTTTTGTGGGAAGGTAAAATATATTTCATAAGGAATTTATTTTCAGAGTTCAGAGATAAGTGTGATACAGCCCAACATAAGCTAACAAGATGGCTGCAACAGCACAAGTTGAATGTTTCTACAATATAAATTTGAGGATTTAGCTCTAAAGAAAAAGCTTGTTTTGAAAAGTAGCAAGCTGGGACATTGAGAAAATCTTGAAATAATTATTTTGATGTTGCTTCTGTTTCTTTCTTACTGTACTATTACTATTCTRTAATATAAAATGATAGTTTTTCATWAGGGATTGGCTGCCATAAAAAAAATACTGGTTTTTTTTCTGTGGCATGGAAGGGAAAGAAAGAAGAAAACTGAAAAGTTGCCTAGAGAAAACTTTTCATGTGTCTGTTATAGAACAGTTAACACAATCTTCTTTAATTTTTTTTCTGGTAACATTGAAACATAGTTTCATAGTAGATTCTTCTCATTTTTGCTGCTGATTTAACTTGATGAGATTGTTTCTTACTGTGATAGGAGTTTTAGAGCCATGCTGTTAATTCGTAAAGAGCAAAATTTATCCTGGTTTCAGTAAGGCTCTGTGTGTTGTGTCTGTGCTGTAAGGCTTTGTCTATTTTCCAATTAAACTATGTATTTTCTTTTTAGAGGGAAAAGTTCTAGCTACGTATGAAGAAAATACAAGAGATTTCCTGTTCCCTGACCCTAAGCTTACCCATGGGCGCCGTGGTTTACAGCGTATGATTTTAATGAAGAGGTCCCTGTCTTTCACAGTGAGTGAATGTCTGTGGATTGTATTTATGACACAGTCTGCTTCACTGAAGAAACCCCTTGAACTGTTTCAAATGAAAAGCGATTACTTYTGACAGATTTTGCCATTTTAAGGTGTTGAATGTACAAATCCACAGTTGAACTTCGGGGAAAGTATAATCTTTTTTCAAAATGCTTCAAGAAATTATTTAATGTGAAAAAGTTAGTTTCCACTTGGTTTGCAGTGTAGCTCCATGACATGTCTTCATTCAGTTTAATCTGAGGTGCAGCTGGTGGTTGAAAGGATGCAGGAGAAGAGGGAGATATACTGACTTCATTGTTCTCATCAGATAAACCATGTGACCCTCCTCCTTGATCCCTCTCTGTAGCATTTTGGAGCAACAGCTAATTGGCAGAATGAGTGTAATGAACTAATGCTAATTTTCTGGAGATAGGGGCTCAAGTACTTATCAAATGAAAATTATTTCATTTCACACTGCCCTTTCRTAAAGTTTGACTGTTGAGTCTTAGTTGTCAGCAGAATAACCCAGGAGGGCACTTTCAGGAGGATGGTGAYGATGTGTTTTGGGATTTGTTCTGTGGGGCATATTTTGGTTAAGTTTTACTGGTGGATTGGCAGGACGTTTGGATAGGRTCTCGATTATGATGTCCATTGTGGTTGGACTAGAAGCACATGGGAGAAGGGAAATGCTGATTAATGTTCATTGGTATGTTTTAGCTGGGGTGTTCTTTCCTCTGAAAGGGCAACGTGGAAACTGCATAGGCACTTGCAATTAGGAGTGCTAATTTGGTGTCWGTGTTATATTGGAATGAATTAAAGATGTGATTTTGTGCTACAAAGTGTCTGATTCTGCAGCAGCTTAAACTGTCCCTGCAAAAAGAGCCGATTTGTTTTGGTCCTAGCATCTCTTTGATATGGCTTATCCTATGCATCATGGTGTGGCTCAGGAGATGGGGTGGGATTGTTTTGCTTTCATACTGCTCATAGAATAGGTATTTTCCTGGTGTTGAGAAAGAATAGGGAAGTAGTAACAAATGAGGTGATATTAGCTAAGTTTTTTGACTTTCTGTGAGCAGAATGTAGTTAGTCTGTGTAGAAGCACAGCTGCTTGAAGAGTTCACTGTTTTTTGTTGAACTGAGTTCTTTAAAACAAAAATTACGTATTTTCTAATGAAAAGAAGGTGCCATAATTTGTAAGGTGTGAGAAGATATCAGAGTAATTTGGATGTGTAGCTGATGAGTGATGACTCTCTAGTAGSTTTAAAAAGTTGATGTAAGACACAAACATATTTCCATGTTCCTGTAAGCAGCATAAATTAAAGCCATCTCTGCCCTGGAACTGGGACTGCAGAAGCCTTTGTTGCTCCATTCCATCTCCATAGCTGAAAGTACAGTTTAAGAGAATATTTTGGCATAGTGAGCCCCTTTTCAGGAATAATGCAGAAGTTGTGTTTGATAGCATTGGAGGGAGGTTCCCAAAAGGGACTTYTTGTTCTTCTCCTCACTTGCCAAATGTGAAAGGATTTTTACTTCCAGTAGAAATGCAGTCTCAAGTGCCTCCATCTTCCAGTGTTCCCTGAGCTTTACTGGCAAGTGTGTCATGCTAAGCACGAAGCACTGGATGTGAATGCTAAGCAAAAGGAAGTGTTAAACAGGGTTGTGAGAACACTCACATTATTCCTATGCTAGTGAAGTCATGTTCTTCCCACATGAAAAGTTATTWATAGCCAGCTGCAATGTTGAATATTTTTGAATGACAGCTGTGCTTCAGTGGCGCTTTGATTCCCAGTAAATTTGTCTTTTATTAAAAAAAAATAAAGGTAGCAACAGCAAGGTTACGGTTGTGGAGTTCAGATAKGCAGTGACAAGCAGCGTCTGATTAACACTGCTAATCTGCCAGTTGGAAGGAATCCCAAGTTGAGAGGATCAGAACTCCTCCAGAAGTCTGGCACTTGGCTGATAATGTCTCTGGCTAAATGTCTTACGAGGTTTACAAACTCAGTGTGCATACAAGACATGCCTCGAGTTCTCTCTCCTGGTCCAGTGTTGCCCAGCTGAGGCTCTTGCTGGCTCTTCTGTGTTTCTCTGCAACCCTTGCCTTTCAGAATATGTTTATGTGGTGGTGATTTCTTACAGATGTTCTTATCTCTGTTCCCCACCTTCAAGCAGTATTTGCCACATAACTTAAAAGAGGGKTTTTTTTAAGTTTTTGCTATCTTCCATTAGCATCCCAGTATAAGACCTTCTGTTATATGAATATATACTTYTTTAAGCTAGAGTTGTACTTGTGCTCCTTACAGTCAAAAGCACATATTTGACTTGTATTCTTCTATATATGAACCACCTTTATACTTCTATGATCAAATTGCTGTTGTGTCCCTTCTGTTTAATGATTGGTACACAACTGCTCAGGGCTGCAGATGCCACTAAGCCAGAGGCAGGAGATGCCAAAAACTTTCTGTCTGGATTTTCAGTTACAGATGTCTTTGGGGCTATATGACACTCTTTACATAATACTATGTTGAATATCCTTCAGCAATCCCTAGTTTGGGACCAGCAGAAAACAGAGCAAATCCTCTGATGGCTTTTGGCCTGCGAGTTGCTTTTGACATATCCATGCCCGTGCTTTCAAATGCCATCCCRTATTCCCTCCCACAAACTATTTCTCTGAAGAAGGCACAGTTTCTGTTATTTTTTAGGTATGAGCACTTAACAATTTCGTAATCATTTCCAATCTCTGYAAGAGCAGTAGGTGCTCTATTGTTGAATTTTGTAGTAGACTTACTAATTCTGATGTGTCCTTTTTTAAATTGTTGATAGCACTTGACAATTCATTAGTAATAAAATTGAGTTGATTAAAGATGATCAGATTTAAAACCTCTTTTATATGCCATGACTTGATTGAATCCTGGACTCTGTTAATTGCTATGACTGAGCTTTCTTGGCATTTTTGTCTTTTCATTTCCATAATCTATCCTGGTGCCAGTCATATTCCCTGATGGGAAATCAGTGTTTAGGCAGGTGGTAGAGAATAGTTTGGTTCATCAATAGACGTCACTCATGAAGTTTTTTCTAATTCTTACAAATGTGGGAGAGAGGCACAAACAGATACAGCTCCTTTTCATGTCTCAATAATTTCGTGTGTTCATGTGCACAAATGCCCATGCCCTGAGATGCCTCAGGGTAGCAAATTCTGTCCATGTTGAAAGAAGAGAGGGTAGAAATTTCTAGGGGCACTTGATTCTCATGGATTCTGCAGAGCTATATAAGATGCACATAGATGATTGCCACTTGTTTATAGCATATGTGGCATTTAGTTCTTTTATGCCTTTTTTAATGCTGCTGTTTTGGGAAATAATGCTTGTGTGTCATAAACCCTGCCCTTTACACCCAGTAAATTTTGAATGTGTTGGCCATTGCTCAGTGAATTTGAAAGGCAATAGTTTTCTGAGGTGTTGTGTTCCTAGCCATGGCTGCAGTAAAAGAAGGTGAATGCAACAGAAGGTGCTCATCATGTAAAAATGGAAGGACCTGCTTGCCATTACTGAGTGTGTGCTGTGCTTGACCAGGAGGGCAAGCTGGACCCCACTGATTCCAAGTGGGATAAACAAGGGCTGCCCCAGGGGCAGGAGGGAATGGTTATGGTACAAGGGAGACATCCACAGAAATCAGACTGCTCTACGATCACAGATTGAAGGGTATTCTTAGTCATACTGTTACAAATGAATAGTTATTTGCAGGATGATTGACTAATTAAACAAAATGTTTTTACAAAAGAGATGGCACAACTGAGACTATTCTCAAACAAGTTTAAAAAGTTAGCATAAATGAAACTTCTAGAGCATGACTGAAATGTTTACTGATGCCATACAGCATGGCATGAAAAATCTTTAAACATGCTTTTGACAAAAAAATTGTATTAAAATAAAAGTCAGACCTTAATTGTTGTACAAAAGCAGTGTAATCATCTGTAATTGAATTGTCAGAAATGCAAATGTTAGCATCTTGACATTTACCATTGCTGTTCTGTCTTTTCTAATTATCTTTATTAAAGGCTGAAATTAACAAAGGAAATGGCTGAAAATTAGGAATGGTTTGTTACATTAAGTGACATTTACCTCTTTGATACCCTTTATCTTGTGTTGGAGCTTGATGTTTAATTATTGTGTCTCTTCTAGGGAATTGCACCAAAATTGAGATTTTCTACAATCTCCCTTATTACAGACAGTCTGTTAAGCTCAGAAAGGAGTCACATACAGGTTAGCATAATTTACTTGTTTTCAATTTAATTTCTAGATTTAATATTGATAGCCTTGTTTCCAATTTTTGCATGTGCTGCTCACTTCAAACTTTTYTCATTCTTTTGTTGTGGTTAAAGCAGGTATCATGGGTGCTTGACAACTTGATTAAATTTTTAATCAAGTATGAGTAAAGAGTGAATTTGGTGCATGACAGTAGATGCTGAGAGTTCCTTGAATCTGAAACAATTATCAGGTACTGTATTCTGTGATCAGCTCAAGTGTCAGTCCCTGGTGTATTTGTACCTTGTAAGATGCCTTCTCACCATTTGTTACTGACACTTAAAATTAAGGACAGTGAAAACTAGGTGAAGTTAGAGAAGGTACATTATTAAAACCAAACCAATTAATTTAATTGTTTTCCATAACTGTATCATTGACAGTAATGGAAATGAAGGTTTTTGTTGAAACARCTATCACCTGTATTAACCTGGAAATTCTGCTTTTGCAATGAAAAGTTAAAGGTGAAGTAGCACTCTTCTCTGGTCTCACAGACTGGAATTTTGTTTTGGATTTCTGGCACAAGCTGTCATGTAAATTTACTCTTACATCCTCCCTTTTTTGCTGTGCTATGGAAAAATGGTGCAGCATCATTAAAATGGAGTGGTTGTCACGAAGGTGTGTGCAGACACTTAGGTGACTTTGACCTGTTGGTGGCATTGCTAATGACTTCTATGAGAAGCTTCTTCCCAATKTAGCAAATGAAATGTATCAAGACAAAAAGATAAAAAATCAGTGAAAATTTTCCTTGTCAGAAAACTGGTTTCAGTGAAGGTGACTTGAGTAAGGGCAATTTGGTTTAAAATTTAAACCGTTCCTGGAAGTGTTATGAGTGGCAGGTCAGATTTTCTTATGTTGCAGTGCAGGTCTGGTTTAAAAACTGGTGTAAGTGAGGAGCACCACAGCCTGCTTCTGATGAAGCTGAGATTAGTCATAGAGAATTAGGTCTGGCTTTGTGCAGGCCAGGTCCATGCTCTGTCTCACAGGAGGCTACACAAGTGGGAGTTCAGAGAAAGAGTGGTAGGAGTGGTCTCTGTGCTGCCAAATTCAACCATGTCAGTGAAAAACAAACACACAACCTCAGCTTCACTCGTGGTGGGGTGTAGAGGGCTTGAAGGCAAGCTGGACATTTTATTTCTGGGTTCCTCGGAACCAAAGCAACATTCAGATTTAGGGCTAATGTCAAAATGCTCAAGCTTGATAAAAAATTCTACCAGGAAGAGTGTTACATTTCTCAACAAAACTTTAATCTTTAAAGAACTAGTAAATTTACCATGATCCAAGAAAATAAAAATTTTAGAGAATATAGTTGCATATAAAAATTTTAGAGAATATAGCTACTTTTTTGTAGCTACACGCAATTCTAAATGCATATAATTTAAACTATTAAATAGGCTCCTATTTGTATTTATATCTTTCATTTTAAAGGGTAAGAATTTTGAAACAAAATCTTAAACAGATGAAAATATGCTTCAAATCTGTGTATGTTTAATTCAGGTGAAGTTTCTGTTAAATGAACTTGCGACAAAATTCAATTTAATTTTTACAATCTCCRCTGTGTGAGAAAGCTAATTGAATGAGTATGAGACAACAAGTCATACTGTGTGTTTAACCTTTTGGTTTCAGAGAAAATGGTAAACAAGTTGTTTTTTAAATTGCTGTTTGATTATAGTTTTGTGAGGGGAACTTCACCTGCCATGGCATCTCTTTGTGGTAAAATTATTAGTGCCTCATTTGCATTATGTTCAGCCATCTTTGTCCTACATGCTGTCAAATCAGGTCATTTCTCTTCTTCACTTTAGGCTGCTTTGAAAGGTGCGCACCGTTCAACCCCAAACAGAAAAATGCACTCAAAGCTACCAAAGAAAAACCCTCCTTCACCTGGGAAAGGCAGGCAGAGCYTGGCAGTGAAGAGCTACGAGCAGCCCACCATCGCCTCCAAGTCGCGCTCTCCGTCGCCGTACACCAAGCGCCGCATGTGTGAGCTCTCRGAAGAGGCCAGGCAGAGACTGGCCCATCTGAACCTCGGGCCTCATGAATTCAAGAGAGACACTGACAAACCTCCATTTGTAATCAGACGGGTTTGTATTCGCTCCTAGGTGCTTCCAGCTTAAGCTCAGTTCAAATATTGTTCTTTCACTAAATAGCGCTCCAAAAATTCATTCAGCTCTTAGTTTAGATGAATAATTTTCCTCTCCTTAACAGTCTGTCACATGGTGATTTAAATGTAAAATTAACTAAAATAAAATTTCTTTTATCTTTTCTTTTTCTGCTTTGGTAACAGACAAAGATCAAATTCTTTCATGAATATCTTGGTTAAATTCTCCAAGGCCCCATTTCTTTTCTTCCAGCACACTAGACAGGATAATAGGTGTATAAACTCAGCTTGGAAGTAATTGATATTAGTATTAAAAATTCCTGAATAAGACTTTAAAGAAAGAGTGTCTAGTCACATTATGAACACTTATACTTCCTCTCTTTCAACTTTTTTTTATGTTGGCATCCTGTGATCTTTGAAATGCTTCCTTTGCTCAGAACTACATCTCAAACACTTTGACTTGGAGTTCATAACATAAGGGCTTTTTGCCATACAGGAAAAATTGTCCTGAAATTAGGTACTTATTTAAAGAAATTGTGTGTAAGTCTYTACATTTCTCAGCCACTTGGAGGATCATATACTCTTTTATTTTTCCCCCTCTTAATTTTTCTTCTTATTGCAGCAATTCTTTGTTTTTAGAAAATCACTTTTGAATTTGTAGGGGCAGAAATGGTATTGTTCATATTCTACTCTGTGACATCATGATTTGTCTACGTTCCTGTACACTTAGCACAGACAGTTAGATGATCTAGTGTTTAAATAGTTTGCTTCTCCCTTATTTTTTTAGCCTAGTATCAGTAGTAATTAATCAATAATGTATTGTCAAATTTTAGAATTCTTTTCCAAGTTTTATTCTACATAGAGGTATCTTTTAGGAATTCAAAATGGCCTTAATAAGTCACTAATCATTCATCAATCTATTTCTATCAAATATTTTTCTTTTAACTCCTTTTATCCAAATCTTTTCATTTTTGATCTGTAGGTGAGGTTCAAAGTTTAATTATGTCATCATTAACACTGATTATTGATTTTTCAATGCTTGGTTATGTTTGTACAAAAAAAGAAGGGAAAAGCTAGTCTCTTAATTTAGCATATCCTGACTGTCATGGCCTTTCTAGATTGAGAGTGTGCCTTTTAGGGCATCTTTACTGCTGAGAATCTTTTGGCCTGGAGATTCTGTATTATATGAAGATTAAAATTGGATTATATTGCATGTAACTTTTTAATTAGAGAGAGATTCAGATCTCTCTTGGTGACATCTGAGCTGTTTAGAATAAATGTGAGTTATGAAGAATTGTTTAAAAAGACTGCAGACATTATAGAYGAAGGAAAATCTCTGTATTTTCTCTTTCTTTGAACAATAGGATATTCAAAGTTGTCTGGACCTTTCTAGTACTATTTTTATTTATGCACAGTAATGCTAATAATGCACTTGAGCCAAGTGTTACAAAAATAGTTTAAAATGGCATTTAAATAAAATATTTCAGAAAGTACTAGTTGTGATCTTTCAAACAAAACCAGAATGACCAGGAATTGATGCATCTGATATGGAGCTTTTGACAAGTATTTTTGCTTCAGGTTGAACAACCAAGTCCTGGTGCCAAACTTCATCCCTGGTGTTCCCCACGAGAAATTGCAGCCGAAGCCTGGACCAAGGCACCCCATGGTCAGCATTTTCTACTATGTATCTCATTAATGCTTTTGGTTTCTGCAGTAAGTAGTTTAATTTGGGGTTTTTTATTATTATTTTGATTTTTTTATTATTATGAGAATGTCAGTGTATAGTGGAGAAAAAGCTGTTAGTTATTCCTGGGGAAAGGAAGAGTACTGAATAAACTACTGCTTCAAAGGGTGAATTTTTTACCTCATGAAGCTTGGAACATAGTTGTACATGGTATGAAAATAGGAGCAGACAATTCTAAAGCTGTTTCACTCCACTTGTTCTGTTGACTTGGATGGTGGAGCAAATCTGCACCATGGTTTGTGGGTGTATTTATCAGGCTTGGAGTATTGATTATTTTGAAGTTCAAGGACTCTGTTCCTTCAAAAATGAATAATATTTATTTCAGCAATATTTATGGGTAGTGGATTAGTGACTTACCATTACTAATGAGCGTCCAGGATGTGCTCCAGTATCTGTTCAGCATCCTTTGGTATCAGTAAGTGAGGGTTTAATAAAAAGTGTGGGATCAGAAATTTAAGGAATTGCCCTAAAACTTGATTTTATTGCATATATCTGACAATATGAGGATTTTAATGAGTCTCATCAGTATTTGTTTATTTGTGCTCTGCCTCATTTTTATTTCATTTCCTCGCTAATTATAATTTGTTATACAGCAAATCATTATGAACATGTTATTTTACATTTGTTCTTTTTCGTTGCACTGGGTGCTGGATTTTAAAGTTTTCACATTCCCTTTGGGAACAGATTTACCAATCTGTAGCTGGATGATGTAACAGACCTGATTATCCGACTCCATTGCACAAATTCAAAATGAGCTGGTGGTTTCTGTCCCGTAGGTAGGAGACCAAAATYTACCTCAGTATTAATATCCAGAGGATTCACTGCTTACATGTCTGTGACTTGAGGCTTAACTGTAACTTGTGAAAAAAACAGATTCCTAAGATTAGAAAGCTTGATGGTGACAGTGCAGTTTAGTGCTTTTTTGCTTTTCCTGGGTTGTGTGAGGGTTGCTCAGTACAAATAGGTAGAGCAGATCCAGAAAGCAAATTTAATGTCAGTCCCTCAGGGATGAGGTGCATCTGGTGAAAAATCCTGACCCAGTGTGGGCCTGAGTTTCTCCATGTATGTTAMCCTGGGCTTCATGTCTGTGAGTCAGTGGTGAAGAAAGGAATGCAGAGGTGATATGAGGAGGGAGAGATGGTCACAGGGAAACTTGTTCAGAGAGKATTATTATTCAGTAAGGTAGAGATGGGAATTTTTGGGAATGGTAGAGCTTGTTTTGATACTGATTTAAGCAATGAATAGTGTAACAAAATGTGCCATTTCTRTATGTGCAGAAGATGGTGCCTACAGTGATTAATTTTTGCAAACGTTGTATTCCATCCAATGTGAAGTCATGGTTTTCAGCTAAAGACAGTGATTTCCTGAAATATATGAAGGAGACCATGCATAATAATAGTAACTTGCTTTAGTTCTGTTTGGGAGGAGATAAGATGCTTTGTAAAAGATCTAATAGAATTTAGGGTATTCAAAGGTCTTTCTTATTTTTTTCTGTCATGGATTTTTTTTCTTTCTCCAGATCATTCTCCTCTCAGCAGCTATAGACCCAAGAAAGCTGAAGTGAGTACTTCAAAATGTTGTTGCTTACACACTGTTTTTTGGGAAACTCTCAGCTTCCCAATCCCTGCATTGTCTTGCATAGGTATTTTTGAAACTTYATCTGCTCTAGTATCAAAAGCAAGAAAAAGGACATTTTGAATCTCATCTAACCCAGTTAAGGCCTGCTGACAGGTCATTTACAAMCAGTGAAAGGAAACCTAGCACTCTGTAAAGATGCTCATGCCTGCACATACAGAACTTGCTTTTCTTTGGCAAGAAGGCTTGCAACAAGAGCACAGAGGAGCCTTCAAGGGCAGTTTGCATTTGCTTTGCCAGTTACTCTGAAAACATTCTTCATTCTGGAATTGTGTGCAARGGTAGCACTGGTACAACTGGCAGGCCATGTTGTGTTATTTCAAATCCTTTCTTTTTCAGATTTTAGCTTCTTTATTAAAAGAAACTGAAGATTAATGTCTTTGGATTCTTTTGGTTTTGGGGGGTTTTGTGCTTTACATCCTTATTTAGTTGTTTTTTGCCTGTGTTCCTGAAGTAATGTAGAAATTGTGGTCTCGGGTATTTGTTTGTGCCCTCTTAGCTTTCCTAATGGCTGAGAAAACTGATGATAGTAGGGAGGAGGAAGGAAAGGGAATTATAAGGATAAAACTTGATAGATACGTTAAGCCCACTTTTGTCAGCCTCTAACATTTTATTACCAAGGATTGTAGTTCTGTGTACCATGCAAGTCTAATATATTGTGCCACCTCTGGATTGTTCCATGAGTTGTTTCGACTCTCAGGCATTATTCTGATTCTGTTGAGATTCCTGGGAAGGGTAAGTCTTTAAATTGTGCACTCAGAAAAGCTGATAAAAGTGCTGTTGCTGTAGAGTTTGCCATAAGATGTCAGTTACCAACAGATTGCTCTGAGRTTTGTTGATTTACTTTAGACCATGGATTTTTGTATGAAATGAGGGTCCATGTTCTTTCTCCAGCAGGTAAATGTTCCTGAGTGAATGTACCATCTTTAACCTTCTGGTTTGAGAAGTAAAAACATGGAAATTGTACATCTTGATATTTGTAATAAATTTTAGTTTGGTGGGGTATTTTTCAGGGAAAATCTATCCGTGGAAAAGGCTTGGACAGTTCTGCTGTTTCCAAGGAAGATGTGAGCCCAGATCCACCCAACAGGGAGTCCCATTCTGCTGCTTCACTGGAGCGCTCAGCACCTCCAGCAGTTCAGGAACCTTTTCTGAGTTCTGTGCTGAATCGATCTTCTCTAAGGGAAAGGTAATGTSCTGGTTTTGTTCATGACATTCTGGAACTGGGAACATGAGCAGGTGATAACAGTGCTTGAATGACTGCATGTTCAGAGGTGTGAGGGCTGAAGAGACTGAAAAATCTTCCTGCTTCAACTGTGTTGATGACTTTTTGCTGTGTTTGCCATCACCTCTCTGCCTAATGATTACAATCCTAATAACATGGCAGTGAAAATCTCTGAAATGGTGACACCTCACATTGTAGACTGACAATGTCTGACTGAAACAGACAGTAAATAGATCAACACTTAAATAAATCATCACTTAAATAAATCATCACTGTTTTGGAGGTGATTAGAATCTCAGGGATGTAAATACAGATACATGTCAGGTAAGCTTTACAGCAGGTACTTGGAAACCTTTTTTCCTTCTCACTTCAGACCAATGTTTTTGAGCACATACTTGTGGCTGTGCTGTGCTCAGATGTGTGTCTGGTGTGCATAACATGCTTGGGCTAGCTTTAATCTATTCAGTGTGTTATTTTCCAATCTTTTTACTTTTTTGRCATCCTAAGGTTTTGGGTTTGATTTTTTGAGTTGAAGGGTGACCTCTGCAGCTATTGTGTGTATATTAATTGCTGTATTTCAGTCATTTTTCTTAGCTATCTCCACTGACCCCAGTGGAACTGGGTTTGGGTCATTTTCAAATRTCTCTTAGTTCAGTGGATTTCAGTTCCTGGATTAATATTTTGGGCAAGCTTCACAGCTTCAGTGCCTTATGAGGATGGCAGAAATGTCAAAAAGCAACAGATGGTTTCACGCTTAAGCCCTCCAGTCCTTCAAGGAGAGTAATCCCAGCTTCCTGCTGAGTAGAACATGTTCTTGGTGCTTCTCTTGTAAGTTCAAGTAGTAAGTTACTAGTTGGCTTTCTGGGAACAGAAAAAACTGTGTGCAAAGCTAGGCCTGAGTAAGCAAATACATAAAATAATTGGGAGAAATTAAGGATTAAACTGATGACCTGTCCTAAATGCTGAAGGTGTTCTTTGGTGACCATCTCACACTCCGTTTGATCCCTATTACCATTGATGCTTCAGTTAGTCAATGCTTGCAGGTTGCATTTTAGAGCCTACACACAGACTAATGCTTGTTTCCAAAATAGAAAAACTGTCTCTGTTTTTTCTTTAAAAAGAAAAATGACAGATGGCAGGTGGGGACTGAATTTTTAATACTCACAAAGATCAAGTTGGTGTTTTAATGTCTTCCTCTGCTTGAAAACTTGTTTGTTAGTTGTTCTGTGTAATAGTGTGTCTTGAGAAGTGTTATACAGAGATTAGGATGTATCTGGAGTTTGAAGGAGGTTTCTTTGTCATCTTGTCTGCCTCCCCACTCTTCTGACAATGTTTGTGCATTAGTTACCCATATCTGGGGAAGAGATATTGTCATGGTAACTTTTTTATCCTTTTTTCAGCTGGGCTGCTTTTGGAGGGGTTGGGGCTAAATTATATACACATTTTATTTAAAGCTGATGTGGTGTCTTCTACTGATAGCAGGAAAGTCTTGTATGCTGTGAGCTGCTGTTACATGCATAGTAATTTATTCCTCTGCCAGTTAATCTTGAACTTGTCTGAATGTTCTTGCTTTTTCTCTTTRTGAGCCTCTCTCCAGTAGCGATTTCTGATCTTGTGAAATTATGTTTTTTCTTCTTATTAAAGCAAATGTTCCCAGCTCTTCAGAGCTGTAACATCTCTTTATGTAAAAGATGTAACCATTTACTTCTGTCATCAGAAAAAATTCAAAATGAGAAGTAAAGGGCATAGTCTAAAAAAAATTGATCTCTGTTTCGTGCTGCTGAGATAACAATGGTTTTAGCTGATTGTGTACTGAGAGTTATACTTGGAATGACAAACATGGTTTAGAGGTCAATGTTTGGAAATGCMTGCAAACGCTGCTGTTCAGATCATGGAAATACAGAGAAAATCAKTGCTCTGAAAGTAGAGCAGTGTTAGTGTAATTGCAAGAATATGGACTCTTATCTCACAGTATTTGGTGTTTATTTCCTCAATTTTATTTTGAATTACAAAGACAAATTGCTTAGCATATCCAGGCTACTATTTTTGATGCCAGTCAACCCACAGTCAATATGAAACTTGACTCCCCACCTTGACCTTTAGTTCCCTCTTTTCCTTTTCTGTTTTTAAAAAGTAGTGTGAAGTGGCTGTCTGCCTTCTTGGGAGTACTTCCCAAAACCCCGCTGTGTAGTTGTTAAGTCACTGCAATACTTTTCAGTGAGACAGAAATTGGGGTCTTGTGTAAGGTCCTCTGAGCCCTTTTGTATCCTTTCTGGCAGTTTCCAGTCCCTTTCTTTGAGYTTGCTAGAGAGACCACTAATCAATCCTCTTCCCCTTTCCTCTGGGATTCATTCAGAAGTAGAACTGTAAATAGATTTACTATTGAACAAGACAGGAAAGTTTTGAATATTGTGTTTTCATACTTTCTTTTTACATTTTTCATTATGGACGTCACCTGAGGAAAGCATTTGCTGATGTTGAAAGCTGACACTCAGCAGAGTGATGTGGCCATGCAGCCCTCCAGAGGTCCCTTCCAGCCCTCACTGTTCCATGATTTTGTGAGGTTTGATTGCAGCTCCTGTGCAAACCTGTGGCACAAACAAACCCTCGAGTTCCTGCCCATGGTGTGTGACCCACATTGTGACAAGGCAGTTGTTTGCTTGGTTGTGCAGAGAGGAAAATCGTGGRTGCCTTGGGAAAGAGCATTCATACTTTGTTCTTTCAGTGCTGCTTCAGGAAAGCAAAATTGGAGTCCAGTCCTTGCCTTCCTGGTGCACAGACATCCTCATGCACTCCTGGAAGATGTTTTTCTTGGGGACTTACAAGCTAAGCCTTCCTTGCAGCACTGAAACCTGCAGCAAAGTACCTTTTAGAAAGAAAAGGAGAAATAGTGAGATGGATTCCATAAGATCAAGAAGTCTTTTGAACAGAGCTGTGTGTTGGCACAAGAAAAATCCTTTCCTCAAGATACTACAACAATCATGGGAGTATTTGACTATTTCTGTTACATGAGAAGCAAAGCTACTTCTCGTGCCATTGGGATCAAAGGATTCTTTTTCCTACTCTGGAAATAGCATGCCTCTGCTTTTGTTTCCAGATTGAAGTGCAGTTTGATGGCTTTTTTCATGTTCTCCTGATTATGCTGCTGCTATGTGATCTTACCTGCTATAAAATTTAACAAAAACCTAAGTTCTCTTTGAAGTGAGACACAGGTTAAGTCTGGATCAGATGGCCTTCTGTAATACTTCTCTGTTGTTTTACTACCATCTTTTCATATTCTCTTTTTCCAAGTGCTAGGGAAATAAGAGCATGAAGTTAGATATTGCTAATGATAGATACACTGATAGATATTAACAGATATTAATGAAATACTAGATCCTACATGAAGTCTCTGAAAACACCAGTTATCAGAATTTTTTGTTTCAGTAATTTTGAAATGTATCATCCCACGATCTTGGGGGGTGTTTCTATTGCATAGCAAAATGCAGAAACAGGTGGTTCACCTGATACTTTAGAGACTGGCATGCAGCCTGAGACAGGGTTTGCTTCTGTGAGAGGGTTTGTTTTAAGTTTTGAGAACTTCCTACTTCACAGTATAACACTGAAAAATATTGCAGACTTCTTAGGAAAAAAGCTTACTCTCAGGAGTGGCTGCACCTTGATTTCCWGTCTATTTCTAGCCATTTGAAAGTCATTATTTTTGATTTTTGGAATTAATTTTGGTAGGAAGGTTTGGGGTTTATCAATCTCACCTCTTGGGAAAGTTTACTTATTTTGCATCCTTTAAATATTGACTTCTGGAATCAGCACTTGAAAAATCAGTTATTTCATACTAGATTCTGCAGAACTGAGAAGTACCTAAGCCTTGTTTCATATTTTTGACCAACGTTTGTACTATTTGTCATCTTCATTGGTTGATTTTGCTGCAGCAGTAAGTAAATTTGAAATTGATTGCTGTCAGAGCCATTTTGTGTATAAATTAATAAATTCAGAGAAGATAGAAGGTAATGGAAAAGCTTCCAAAGAGCATAAGGAGGTGCAGCCAATTTGTGACACACTAATGATTTAGTACCACAATGACTTCAACCTTTTGGGAGCAACTGCTCAGCTGGAGTATTGACTTTCAGTGAAATTTCGGAAGCTGCCTGCCATTAACTTTCACTTTTTACATGATGTATATTGCCACACTTTTAAGGGCTGGGTATGAAAAGGAGGGGGGAAAAAAGCATTTACTCATTTAAGAACTCAGCACCGAACATGTCACTAGTGCTTCAAGGCCCAACTGCAAAACAGGGCTTTTGAACTTAGAAAAGCTRCATAGAAAGCATGAGCAATTTTACCCTTTTTTCATTTCTTACTGAAGAGGTAGAGCAAATTGAAACACAGCAAGGCTGTCAGCATCTGCTTCCAAATATTTAGGCTTCTGTGCTTTGATTTAAGGCCCTGTCTGTGTGTTGTTGTTCCTGCTTCGTMGTAGTATCGTGTCACTGTGAAAGGAGCCAACCTCCTCCACTTAAAACATTGTGTGAATGCAGGGGGTTTGTGTTGGTGTAACTTCATTACAATTCAGGCTGCTATGTACAAACAGAGCCTCTAAAACACTTCAGGGCTGCATCATAGCCATCCATCACCTTAAGAAGAAGCAAACCAAAATGGTGTCCTTGGCTAAACAGACAGAAAAAACTCTGAAGTGTGGCCCAGCTTTTCTGTTGTTCCTCCTTACAGACCACTATGATTGCAAGCTAAGTCCATCCTACTGAATTACCTCTTAAATAGGAACAAAGCAGCTTCCTTCCCTACTATGAAYGCTGAATAAATACCTGCATAGATATAAAATATGTGAGATAGATTTTTTTTTAATTTCAGAGTTAAATATATTTGGTTTTGTTGAGACTCTTTACTCTTCCATATGTAAGGTCTTGCAGATTGTGTTTTTTTCAGGTTATACTCAGATTTAAGTGTTTTTATTCCCTCTTCCCCCCATTTACAGTAGCGTTTTCTCCAGTTGAGAATCTGGTACTACAGGACTTCATTGATTTCTGTCCTCTGATAGTTTGTCCTTGTATATGGTTTTGCTCAGCATGACGTCTGTGTCTTTGAAGCTGATGAATTTTTGTGTAGGCCACATGCACAGAATTGTTCCCAAGGCAGGGAGGTGCCATGGTGGGGGAAGGGGTCACGAGAGCCACTGCAAATATTCTGCAGAAGGCTTTGGCATTAATTCTGCTGATGTGAAATGTATTAATATCTCCTGCCGAAATGTGATATTAATGTTTTTGCTATGTGCAAGTGGATGATTGGATTGTCTGACATTTAAAAATTCCTATTTATTACAGCTCTCAAGTTTGCAAGCTGCTGTTTGAGTAGAGTACATGGGTGGATGTATCCTGTTTGCATTTCTAATGGAGTATTTCATCCTAATGGATAAAATTATACGTGAAAATAATCTTTAGCACAAAATCTACACTGTCTGTTTGGCTTCTTTTTATTTCTTTTATYAAGGTAGATGTTGTCTGTATGACCTTAAAAAAAATCCTTATCTCATAAAAGAAAATAAATGCCTTTTAGCCACATTACAAGGGAAAATGGTTCTGTTTCCTTGATCGGACTCAACACAACATCTTTGAAATTAATCTTGAAAAGTTYTCTGATTGATCTGGCTTTTTCTAGGTCACTGAGCTATATTTCCAAAGTGTTTATACAATCTATTGGAATCAATAAACAATTTAAACTGATGTAACTGCAGAATGTTTGCAAGTCCCAGGGAAAATTGAAAGTATGACAAAGAATACAGCTGTAGAAGTTTATTTCGTTTATCAGGACAAACAGTCATTGAAATGAAATTACTTTCCTTTGAACACTGCAATATGATAGTGACACCTTAATCACATAAATAAGTAGCTGGTCATTTTAAAGAGTTGTTATTGGTGATYTTGAAATTGAATCCCTTTATTTATACTCCAAGAAGACGTGCTATAAAGCCTGTTTTATAAAGTATTTCCAATAGCAGAGTTGGAATATCATAAAAAGGTTTCACTTCAGATTATAGCAGTTACATTTCAGGCATGATTTTATTTTAGTTTGTGTTACATTTCAGGCATGATTTTATTTTAGTTTGTGTTTCATGCATGATGTTATTTTAGTTTGTGTTTCAGTTCATAAATATTAACATTATACTTTAAACGTGGATTTGACTCTATAGTTACTACTAAAATTAGACAATAAAAATACTAGAAAAGCTAATGAAAAAGAAGCTGAYACCATTTTTAATCACACTTAAGCTTTTGATTTTTGGGTTTTTTTGTATATAAAGTTTTGGGGTATGCGTGAGTGGCCAACATTTGTTATACCACAGCGCACACTAGTGGATTGAGCCATAAAATCACCTGGAGAAAGAATTTAATAGTTCTCGAATTAAGTACTTAAATCTTCTKGCAGACATAGCCATGTATTTTCTAACTGAATACAATAGCAAGACGGATTTTCTTTTTTCTTTTCCCAAAAGTAAATGCATTTATCTCCAAGGATATTTGTAAATTTACTATTAATAACAATGATCTGAAATCTTACATACAAATTACATAAAATTTATTTCCCAAGGGCAATCTATTCCAACTTCTCAGAGCAAGCAGCCTGAGTGCTAGAAGAGCAGCAGCTGCTTTATAAATAAGAGAAAATGCCATGACTTCATGGCTCTATCTTTTATTTGTCAAATGGGAAATGACTCACTCTTATTGCATCTAGGATGCAGATTTTTAAACGTGCATTTCAGAGGTCCTTTAATATCAGTAAATGTTGTAAATTCTAATGGGAAGTCATAAGATGATGGTATCACTGCAGCCCCTTTTCCTTACCTCTCTTCTTTTTAAAAAAGAAAGTGGTTTTTTTTCAAAACACAGGTGGTGATAGAGCACACGCATTGTAATGCAGTACATCAAATGGGGTTTGACTGCATTAGGGAAATGAACATTCCTTCCTGCTTAAGGGACGCAGACTTGTGTTTCTTTAAAGGCAATGCTTTTCTCCCCTAACAAAATTCACAAACCATTTTACTTTCTTTTAAAAAAAAGTTGCAGGAGATCTTTTACTTCAACAGATTGCTGGATGCTGGTGTGCAAAAGAATTGTACAGAATGAATTTGCTGTACATGTTTTGGAATTTGGAATTAATTGTACAGAATGAATTTGCTGTACATGTTTTGGAATTTGGAATAAATTGTAAAATTCTCAGGATAGCAATATGAATACTATAGCACACTTGGTGAAAATGCCTGCTTGTAATGATCCGAGGATAAAACACGATAAAATCATCAGAAATATGGAAAAACAGCTCCCTATAGATTTTATGTTATATGCTTCCAATATTGTGTCATTCCTTGGCACCCTTTCTTGAAGAAAAATAGAAGCATTCACAAATAGATGAATTGATTTAAAGAAACTCATAAATATGCTGAAAATACTGGAGTTGTTTATAACCAAGAGAGATATTTTGGACATTAAAGCAACAATAAGTGAATCCAAATAAGTTGTTTAGATAAAAGAAAGTAGAAGATTACTCAAAAGCAGAGAACCGGTCATTTTCTAGTTATATTTCAGTCTCTGTCTCTGGTAATAAAAGGCATGATCTGAAACACTGCAAAGAATTCCATGCCTGCAATCTTCAAGGTAATCTGGCACTTCCCATTTTCAGGATCCTGCTTCTATTAATTTTAACATTGCCAGGCTGCTTGTTTTCTCTGTACTGCAGCTTTCTCTGTGTACTTGCTTTGTTCTTTTTGGAAGGAGCTGGGCAGTTCTTCAGCTGTMCTGAGATATCTGGAGGTTTGGTGAAGGTGAACTGAGCCAGGCACGATCAGTCTGGGGATTTGAGAGTGATAGACTGGATAATGCAGGGAGTGTGATAAATTGGAGAGAAGAGGGCAGAGGAACTGGCAGTCCCAGTCCCTGTACAGAGCACACTGTGGAATCTCAGGGCTCAGAGTTATGCTGCTTCTCCACTGAATCAAATTTGGGAAGCTACCAAAGCATGTCAGTGCTCCTGGTGCTSCTAATCCAGCCAGGGAATGGCAGCTCCGTGCTGCTGCTGGCTGCTGTTCATCAGCTCAGATTGCACAGGCCTGGTTTGCCAGCTCACAGCTCGCCCAGTGACCCGTGTTCACGTTAGCATCACATCACATCATGAGTTCTGATTTTCTTGGTGCAAAGTCAAGCTCTCAGAGCTTAGGAAGCATAGAAATGAAGATGCACAGTCTTGATTTGGTGCTCTTTTTCTGTCCAATGTGATGAACTTATATAAGGAAGCRTTTCATAACTTTCCCCCAATTATTCTTTTCTTCTATTGGTATGTCTTAAAAAAAAACAACCTAATAACATGTGATTGGCATATAAACGATCCTATTCTTAAAATCTTAGTTGTCTCCCTTAACAGACTATTRATGTGAAATTTCTGCCAGCTTCTGAACCTGCTGAGAAAGATGAGGGCTTTTTTTAGCAAAGTGAAAAAAAGATGTGGTAAAAACATAAAAGGGTAAAATCCAAAAGTAGCTGTTTAAGTTAGTCATACCAAGYAAGCTACATGGTTTTTAATATTAGAAAAAACCCTTAAAATGCAGTTCCTCTTGAGAAATAAAGACTGAATTTGCAGGTTTTTACCTCCATGTTTTCCGATTTGCATGCATTGGGGTTACCTTCCTTTTGATTTATTCCAGTGAAAAGAACTTCATGTCTGCAATACTTCCTTTAAAGAGAGGAAAATGAAACCTGGTCATTGGGAATAGTATAGCTTTTCTGTTCTGTAGGGATCACACAAACATTACAGAAATATTATTCCAGTTACAAAATCATGGTTTTCTACATTTTGCATCTTCATTGGTGTTGTGACTGCATACTGTTTATGCAGTGCTTTGAAATGTTTCTTTACTTGTACCCCAGAGGAGAAGAATCAAATCTAAACAGTGTGTGTTCCAAAYAGAAGGAAGTAATGCATGCTTCATAATTAAAAGGAAAAGGAAGTCTGAATCAATGAGCTTTTCCACAAGAAAATATTTCTTCTCTTTGTTTTTCTTCTTCCTTGCAGATTTAGCACTAGTTGGCCTTCATCAGCAAATGGAGATGAGATCCATAAAAGAGTGAAAAATATTTTAAGGACACACAGTGCTAGACAGCGCCTAATATTTGTAAGTTTGACTGCAAACTAAATCCTTTCTTCTCTCCTAAATGGCTGAAAAAGAGAGCTGTTCCTAAAGTCTTGGATTTATTATAATGTTGTCCTTTGAGACAGCCTTGATTGTAGAAATATGGATTTGGTGTGTGAGCTGAACTGTTTCGCACTGATTTCCGAGGCCTCCTTATCTTTAGTCTTTATGGGCAAGTGGTACAGGCAACCCTCTCATGGYTTATTGAGGGCAATTATATTGAGATTTGGGTTTTTTAAGATTCTGATTTTCCACTTCCATTTTAAGCAAAAAATGTTACAGATGTGTAGAACATCAAGGCTTAACATGTTGTGGAGCTGCACATCAGCAGCTGCCTGTATCCAGCTGTTTCACGAATTAATGTTATTCTTCAGATATATGCTTCTTTTGCCTTAAYTACCTGGCTTTCAATGAACAGAGCTCTGTATCTAATGAGATTACACCCAGGAACAGAATATTTTGCCCTTGATGAAATTCTGAGGTGTGGTTTTAGACAGACAAAAATTTTTCCAATTGTGATTTTGCGAAACAGTTTCTCAAAAAAAAAAAAATGCCAGAGCATTGTACCAACTGAATAATAAGATTGTGCATCTGCAGAGAATTTAGAGTGTTGACTGTGAGGTGGGGCAAAAGAAAGGTAAGATTAAAAGGATGTGGGGATGAGAGATTATGTTATAATGATTGCAATGATGATTATGATATAAGATGATTAGGAGCTCTGGCAAGCTAACTCAGAAATGTTACTGATGGGTTGGAAGAGATATAAGTCTCCTAAAGTGRAGAAAGGCATCATGTCAAATTCTTCTCTGATGTTTCAATGAACTTAAGATAACAAACTGGATTTCCTGACAGTCCAGCACTTACATTTAATGAAAGCTTGCACAGCCTGAACTATCTTCAGTGGCCCTTGACTTCTTTCTTTGAACACTAGACCATGACTTTATGATAAGGAGAGTTGGATGACTGGTTACGTGGTGTCTCCATACATGGTCTCTCTTCTTGAACTTTCTGTTTGCTTTCTCTTGGTGCATCTTGTCGCTTCCAGGATCAAACATTTGCTGAACCCTGACAGAGATTAATAATCAGAGATGAAGCTTTTTCCTCTTCTGTTGGAAAACTTCATGTTTCTGCCCTAAAAAATCCARCTGTTAGAGTATGGGGTCTTGAGTTATCAATCTGGTAAATGGGTCACCTTGAAAGTGAAGTGCATTGGCAATGTGGTGAGCAGATTCTGGCTCCAAACTAGATCCTCTTCCAAACTTTGAAAGGTTAAAAGTRTCTCTTACTCTGTTTCATTCCAAAGAGTCAAATGCTAAGTAACCATTCCCAGAAGCGTCCAGCTGTGTCTTCCAAAAATTCATTTTCATAGTGCTCTGTAAAAATAGTGTAACTGGAGCTCTGCTGCAGATTCCTTGGGGTGTCCACTGTACCTTTTGCTGTGACATTCTGACAGTATCTTAATGTTTTCATCTATTTTTTGCTTTCCAGAACATAATTTGCCTCTGGCAAATGCTGCAGAGTTTTATTTACCACCGTACCCCATTTCCTCTTCAGTGCTTTGTAGTCTGTGACTGCTGAAGGAAGAGAGCTTTCCTGTTTACAAACACACTTATTACCTTGTRTTTCACCACAATAAATTCTCTCAGGTTTTTCCTCATCCATATGCTGCTGTTCAGCTTGCTCTGCATCTTGCTGCCATCTACCACTATATTTATTCTCTCTTCTCCCAGTTCTGTGTTACCAGCAAGTGTGATTATTTTTACTGCAGTCTTTTTTCCAATTATTTCTCCTATAGCATGAAAGATGACTTTGTTTACTAATCCTTACAGCAATTGACTTGTGCTGAAAGCATCATTTAATATCACCTCTTAAGCAGGGTCTTTGCTCTTCAGAGTAGAGTGAATGTGATTGTGTGTGGTGGAATTTCTACCATCCCATCTCAGGTGAGCAGCTGGCTGCTCCCTCCACATGGGTGTTTTGTTTCTTTCTTACTTAAGAGGGCAAATTCGGGTTAATTAATGYCTAGATAGCATTTGGAAGGTAAAACTGCATTCTAGCAACTGAAARTAYCTGACTGAAGGGTCATTAAGTGTATCAGATTTTTYTTGAAAGYTCARTAAGCATGTACTCATCCTTGGATATGGAWCTGAAGAACTCAGATGTGCAAAATGCTTGTGTCTGAAGCATGAAATGCATGAAATGGATAATCATAAGTTTTAGGTCCTTTTTCATCTTTCCTGCAAGAAGCACAAAAGCAGTAAGCAGTAGGTTTCATAGCATTTTGCCAACATGTTTGTTGGGAATTATTGAAGATTATTGTGCTGTCTGCATATTTCTCTAGATCTACACTGTCTAAAAATTCTTTCCAGTTTATTACCTGAAAATTATTAGCTGAATTGTACTGAACTTAATTAAAAGTGTTCATAAATGGCATTTGGCTCATTACACTTTGTCCCTTTCTCCCCCAAGAAATGTAAGCACTTTAATAGTCCTCTAAATGGAAAGAAAGTATTTGTGAAATGAGATCATTGTAATCAGAAACCAAGGTAATGAGAATTTGATTTCTGGGTTTTTTTAGGATGATTTGCCTCAGACAAGAGAACCTTCAGATAATGAGCCCTTAACCATGAGTGAGCTGCGGAGCAGGTATGGAGCTTTTTTCTCTGACCAAGACAAAACAGTCATACTCAATATTGCCCTTTAAATTKAGCTAAAAATTYCTCTTCCTCTTGAGCTGTGTCATACATTGCACAGGGAAAAGGTTTCTGTAGGAATTAGTCATAYCAAGCTTTCTCACCTAAAAGCAAAATGCAGTTAAATATAATTATGCTTTTGATGGTGTTTGGCACTGTGTCCATGTAGTCTTCATAAAATGCTGGTTTGGAACTGGACTTGGTTATAAAAATGATTCTTGGGCAGTAAATTTTGGAATTTGTCAACCAGAGAGCAAATATCACTTTTAAAATCATCARTTGGTTATTTTTTTCTTAAAACTATGGGAGTGCAAAAATAAATTTAAGTTCATTTAAAATTACAGCAAGGTTAGTGATTCAGCATTCCTTCCATATTCTAGGAGCTGTCTTGGAAACCGGAGATCTCAAAAACCTGGTTAATGTAGATTAATTACTCTGTGTACTCCTCACATACATGACCAGMGATTAATGTGAATAATTTTCTTGTAAAATACTGATTGATTGATTTTGATGAATTCTGTAGTTGAAGTTACCGATATTGATGTTCTCTGTCTATGCACTCAGTATTTTGTGCAATGTTTTGGGTACCTGTTGKAGGAAGGATATGAACTCTTTTGGGCTCCTGTGGCCTTTCTGGTTTTTTTTTTTTATAATAAGGAAGAAGTTGTAGAACTGGGTGCTATATTAGTGGTTGCATTAGAAAAGGTTTTATTTTGATAATTAAATGTGGTGCAATGATTTCTTACAAAGGCATCCCAAATCACCACTGTATAYCCCTGAAAGGAGGGTGTTTCAATATGGGTACCATAGAAAACTTCTACTTGCAATTTGTAAGGCCTAAAAAGTTCACTTATGATTTGCTGGCTTTTTTTTAATTTAAATTCCTGTGATTTGTAATCAGCTCTGTATTCCTTCCAAGGGATTACTTGGATTTCCATGTGGCTGTGAAATTGCTGCTGCAGTTTTGTCTCCTGTACCTGTGCTCTCTCCTGTACTCTGTGTAGCCTTTCTGCTCCCTTCTCCTTTGTCCTGACAGCTGGTGCAATTAAATTGTGTAGGATGTGTTTGTGAGAGAGAAAGTGCAAGTTTTTGTTTTGAGGCAGCTTTGGGACTTTGAGATTTATGCTGAAACTGCAGACCATGAAAAAAATTGAAAAACAAACCCTAACACTCCAGAATCCTGAAGTGATGGGATATGAAATGTGGCACTCAGGTTGGGAAAGGACTGCTCCTTGGGTTTAGAGGCCAGCAGCACTGGGGGTGAGACATAAAGGGCTTGAGGACAGACAGATTGCTGAGTGTTTGCCACAGTGCWCATAAACAGGATACAAGGACAGAGCCAGAGTTCATGGAAGGACAGGGTACTGTCGACCAAACACTGGCAGTAAAGTAGATGGATGATTGAAAACCGCTGGGAGTAAGGAAAAGGTCTGTGTTTTGTGAAATATTTAGTATATGATTCACTCAGAAAAGAACTTCTGGGACTCTTAAAGGAGATGTATGAGGGAACAAAAGCATATGACAGGTATTTCAGAGCAGGGAGTTGCGTGCAGAAATCCTGCTGTTAATATGATTTGTGAGTGTAATTCCCAGATTGCTTAGCTCAGGTTGTCAGCTGGTTTCCAGTTGAGRCAGGAGAGGGACTCTTCTCTAACTTGGCTGCAGCTTTGTCCAGGTATCTCATGTACAAACACTGGCTAATGGAAATACAAACACACCTCTGAAAAGAGAAGGGAAAATTAGGCTTCTGTCTTTTTATAAGTCTTTGTCAGTACCAGAATAAGGAAGTTGTAGAAGTTACTTCTAGGGTTTGAGTCTTTCTTACAGTTGAAGTGGTGGGATTTTGAATGTCTCTAGGTAAATTCAGCTTTTAGGAGAAGAAAAGGCAAGCACAAGGCTGCCTGCTGGAAATGGATTCCAAGGAGAGGAATGTCAGAGGTGTTTGTTGTGTAGTTACAAGTGTTGTGCCTGCTTGTTGGCCTGAGAATTCTCCATCAGGAGTGAGGTACCACAAACTGCAGGAAGSAGGAGGTGAAACTGCAGTTGTTGATGAGTCCCCAGGGTGTTGACTTGTGTGCATTTAACACAGSCCTGTATAACTTCTCTATTGATTTTGTTTGGTAGGTTGGTTTCTTTGTGTCCAGACTGTGAAGCACAGAACTCAGGATGATATAGAGCTTTAAATTTGCTCCATGCCACTGACTGACTTTAAGTGATGGAGCTTTTTTGAATAGGTGTGAAAGTGGCCTTCCTCTCTTTCTAATATTGAAGCCACACAAGAGATCTTGTTTTATTTGGTGTAGGTTGGCATCACCCTAATATTTGAATGTAAGAAATCGAAAAGCAAAAGCTATTTCTTTGTTTTCCATGGTACAGTGGAAGCTTAGAGATGTGAATTTAGAAAACTGATTCTACATCTTYCTCTTCTTTCCCTTTTCTGTTCTTTAAGTGAAAACCTTGTTTTGATGCAGTTGGATACATGTATTCATAGATTTAATATAAGATTTCTTTCAGTTTTGTCACGTGTTGCCAGATATTAACTTGAGGACGAAGTTTAAAGTACAGGTTTGATCATAGAAGACACKATCATTAATAAATTATACATATATAAGAAAAATGTAAAGCTGCCSTGTGAAATGTAATCCATTTCCTAACTCAAGATGGTCACCTTAAGCTGCACATWTCCAGTTTCATTTCCCAGACTGAGAACATTTACAAAAGGCTGGAGATARTTCAGTCCTAATTTTTAAGTGTCTTAAGTGCCTAAATCTCTGAGCAGATGTGAAAAATGTCACCTCGGTTGTAATTTTTTTCTGATGATTTTTGAGCTTCTTGTTTCATGCTTTATTACAGCCAAATTGCTCATTTAATTATATGACACAAACCTTTGTTTTGAAAATATCAAGAGGAAGCAAATAGTCATGATGTTTAGATATAAACTATTCAGACTTGTCAGTGTTTTGTAATGATTTTCAGAGTATAAATTTCACTTCACAGATCTAGGAAATAATTTCTCAAAGCAAYTGAAAGATGAGACTGTGTTTGTGTTTAGTATTAAAACAGGGACACAGAAGATGGGGTGGGGAAGGAACACTGGATTGCCACTATATCAAAATGTATTTGGTCGAATACTTAATCCAAGATGCTTCCGATAGAGCACTTTACAGCTGCAACCACAGTAATTTAATGTCCCCCTGATAGATTGTCTTCATATTGAAATAGCTGCTTGTGGTTACAGTTTAACCTTCAAAGGACACAAAAATCCTATCGTGTTGCTCTTGCCTAGTCACGCAGCCTACAAAAATACAGCAAAATTACTGCAGCTTCTCTGAAAATCAGTTCTATTTGGGGGGCATTACGAAGTGTACTCAGCTAAGTGGGGGAGGMTTTGTGTGAATGAATAACATGGGGAGGTTCCCATTTCTTAAAAGTAGCTGCAGTGCAGTTTTTATTTTGGTTTCTGGATGGTAATCTGTGTTTAGCAGCTCTACATTGGTATTTCTGCTGTYTTTGTGCTGCTGATTCCTCTTCCATATCTTGATTTGATCATTGTTTCTTATCTTCTTTCCTCTGACAGTTCTCCAGTGCAGCAGAACGCTCCTGTTCGCTCGGATATTGGTGAATATTGGTCTCGCCCTGCAGCAGTATACAAAGGGAAGCCTCTCAGAGCAATCTTTGAGGAGAGTCTTGGAAAAATATACAGAGACATGTAYGAAAAAACTGCTGGTGTTGTTTCAGACCAAGAAACACATTACTGAAAGCAACTCACCTGAAAACGCACAGTAGACAGTATCTGTAACTAAACCTATTTTTATATAACAATATTTGTACTCTATTTTTTAAGGTGTCATTATGGTTAGGCAGGGATTTGGATATATGGAGGTTTGGGCTGGGAAAAGGAAGTGATTAACATTCACGCCCAAAAAAAGAAACAAAAAATCCCTAACAGCAAGCACCTCCACAGATAAGCAAGATGGTGTTGCTCCTTTGAGACTATGAAAATAGAGTCATTTGAAGACAAATAGTTCTGCTGGACATTCCTGTCTGACATCAACTCAGGTTTCAGCTGCAGCCAGTTTTTATTAAATAACTAAATCTGTTTAGCAACATAAATGAAATTGGTTGAAGAAGCAATATCTCCTGGTGGTCAGAGAGGGGAAGGTGAATGTGAGAGTTGGTTTTAAAGTGACCATCTGGGACAAAGAGAATTGTTTTCTAGAAAATTGTCTTTGAATTGTTTAATTTGGAGAAGAGCACAAACTCTGCTAGTGTAGGACCTATAAGCATATATTTGAAGTGGTTTTGAGCACCTTTAGTCACAAGTGTTCTAATAGTGTGAAATTTTATAAGGAAACCATCCAGCCCAGCAGCCTTTGTGTCAGATGAAAGGTCATCTTCACACAGCCTTTTGCATTTGAAAGCTCCTATGTTCTTCTGAATGCAGCCATGACATTTGCCAATACACTTGTCATTTTAAAAAATACCAATAAGAAAGGATTGTGCAGGGGGGAAAGACCAGAGCTAGTCAGCTTCTTGTGTTCTGTACAGGCCTTCTGAAATTCCTGCATCACAATCCCACCTAATTTGGAGCCTGTCCTTCCCTGTCTGCTGGGATCCTGTTGGCAGAAATCACTTCGTTTTTGCTAAAGGCCACCAAATGTTCATCAGCAGTTCAATGCTCTCCCCTGGGATGGAACCTTTTCAGCCTTGCACTGAGCAGATCCCACATTAGCAGACCAGGGCAAATTGCCCATCCATTGAAAAGCTGAATGTTTTAAAAGGGCAAGAGTGTCCATCTCCTGCTTCCCCCTCAGAATGTGGAAAAAACAAATGCGTGTTCTGGCTGCCTCCCTATCTGAGCGAGCAGAGTCGGCTCCACCGATGCCATTTTACCTGTTGTGATTAGATAAAGGATAAAGTTAGCAGTACAGATGGTGCAACATATGACTGGAACCTGCCAGCATGCCTAGATAAACAAAAAGTTGGTCTATTCTGCCTTCCCTCCTTTAATGCTGAGACAACATAATTGATTTGAGAAAGCAGTTGGTGAGCAATTCCGCTGGTGGGGGAGCACGTGGAAGGGCTGTGTGCTGCTGTTTCAGGCAAGGGCACTCTCAGAGGAAGTGTCTCACATACAGACAGACGTTTCTGTTCCTTGTAACTGTTGAACCAGTTGAAGTGGATTAACAGTGATAACTTCCTGTCCCTGCTGCCATTTAGCACATTAGTGCTTTCAGAGGGCATTAGTTGCACCATGTCATGCTATGGAGAAGTGCCGAGTCACTCTGTGAGGTAGCAGGATGCTTTTCTTTTTGCAGAAGTGAAAAGTAAAACTTGCCCAAGATGTGCCCCTGAAGGCAGGGAGGCCATGGAGTGTTGTGCTACCAGGAYCTGGTGTTCACTGGCCTCTCCAGTGACCCCATATTAGTCCACAAAGGAATAGTTTTCTTGCTATTCAGAGGAGTGGTTATATTAAAATAGATCCTAACTAAACAGGGCAGATTCTGAGAGATACTTTCCAAAGTTTTGGCTTAACATTAATCTGTTGAAACCTGAAGATCTCCTGTATGAGTTTGAGCTGCTGTTTCCTGTATGAGTTTGAGCCATAAGATTCAGTTCTGTTGTCCTGGTATCATGCAGTTTTCATTCAATATTCTCTGTGCATTYCTTCCCCAGTGTCACAGCTGAGTAAAAGTTAGTCTTCTGAAGAYTGACTGCTCCCCTTTGGCCTGATCTGGTTCTGTGACATAGAAAACCTGTTTGATTTTTCCCTCCCCAACAGTCCAGCAGATTTCAGTCCCTGTTTATTCAGTGTGTAAGGATGCCTGAATGTTGAGGGATTGTTGTTTTTCTGTATGTTTGATGAAGGACACAAGTTGCCATGAATTCAAGACACAAGGAGGGTGGCCACTATAAAAAAAGAGGGATCTTCCTTTTTTTTCAAGGGATCCAGAGAAATGGCAGAGGAATGGTATCTGTTTAATTCCCCCAGCTAAACAAATGAAACATATGGTCATATGGCAACCTTCAGTTCTCATCAGAGATGAGAAATTTTCAGCAAAGGTGAAAACTGCATGGGAGAAGTGTCATYTATTGAATTTTGACCAGTATGAATATTCTCAGTGTAGCCTTCTTGTGCAGCATAACAACAAATGGAGCCGACAGACTCTGAGTGTCTTTGGCCCCGCTCCAGCTGGGACAGAGATGTGTGTTCAATGTCTCTCTGAATAAGCTGCTGCAGGAGATGTTCCTCTCCTGGGTCAGTCATTCTACAGCTCACACACCATGATACAGCAAAGAGTGTTCTCTTCCAAGCTCTGTGCTGGAAATCCAGTTTAGTAAATGGAAAACTTTCCTCTGGCTGTGACTTCAGACCCAAATTACTGCATTCTGTCCCCAAAATCTTCAAGGCACTTTGTTTTCAGAAGCATTTTTCCTTTCCCTGCTTGCCCAGGTAGCCCTGCCAGCACACACAGCTCTGAGCAYGGCTGCTGCTCTGCCCCTGCAGCCTGGGAGAAGCGGAGGTTCAGGCACTGAACCAACACAGTAATAAACTGTAATTGTTTAGTGCACCTTGCCTTCTAATACGATTTAAATCCCTTCTATCAAATGCAAATTTCTGGGTTCCTGAGTGGAGCTTTAAATAGCATTTCCTGTGCTCGTTCCTTATCTTTTGCCATCCACAAAGTTGTTAGTGACAGTGGGATGGCATAATTCCACCCCCGTCATTTTAGCTCCTAAAGGAGAGCTGCCTACTCAAATCTGGCAATAATGGGCCAGATTAGGAGTGAATTAGTGCTTTTCTGTAGAGTCTGTGTCTSTCTCTTGCCCTCCCCAAGTTATTAGCCCACGAGTATTCTCACCAAAAGCTGTTCAGCAGGCAGTGATGCTTGCAGGATGCAATCAGTGCAATATTTTAATCACTTTCATTTTAGTGAGTCAGACTCTGCTTCCTACTTGTTCCCTTCCATCTCTCCCAGGAATAACTTGGTGCAGTTTAGGATCTTAGGCTGGCTTTAGACAAACTGCCTGCCTGTGTTCAGTAGAAATGCAAATCCTTCACTGAGGAGTAGCTGCTTTGGAAATCACTCAGTCATTGACCTGATGTGAATTAAAYGAAAAATGCCAAGCTCTTTAATGATTTGCCTTATCTAAATTTTTGACTTAGAGGAAGAGGAGCTTAAATTGCTCCACTGAGGATAAGAAGCGTAGGGATGGCTGGAGTAATGGGACCAGGTAGAAGCAGCTTTGTAAGATAGATGGGAAACACTGTTTGTGCTCCAAAGCTGAGCAGCTTGGGAAGTGATGAGGGCTGTTCTTTAGATTGTGCATCACATGTTTGAATTTTACTATTACTTCAGAGGCTTCCAAAATTGTCAGGGGAGAAAGAAATCTACTTGGAGATGTTGGGAATCTATTTTTGGGATAAAATAACAGAACATTTAGCTCGGCTCAGTATTAAATAGTCTYTTCCAAACCCCTTCTCATTGTTACYTCAKCTGTAAAATGGGGAGTTTGTGCTCTGTTGAAGCTTAATTAAATGACTGTGAAGTGCTTTGGGATCCTGAGGTGAATGTTAAAGGAATTATTTTATGGAAGCCTACTGAAAAGTCCCATCTCATCTCCAGGTTGCTAAAAAGGCTCTATTTTAATTTTCCCAGGTTTATTATGTTTTAATCAGACAATTATTAAACAAATCTTAATCAGATTTAATAGATTTCTATCTTGATCAGAGAGGGCTAGAAAAGATAATGAGCTGCTTTACTACATGTGCTCTTAGAGCTAATCTTTGCAGTTGGCATCTTGCTCAGCTTCTGTCTCCTGAATGATCCGGGTTCATATCCTGACRCTGATTGCTCTTATGATATCTTTTTTTTCTTTTTTTTTAATATATATATTTTTTTTATCCTGATGCCTTAGTGCTGTTTGCTCTGTGTACTAACCAGCACTGTTAACATCTCTCATATCATCTGTCCTCATCCTCTCCCCAGGAACAAAGGGTGCAGTGTGACAGTGGAAAGTTTTGTGTGGTGTGCCGTGGGTTTGTCAGAGAAAGTAGGAAAGAATCTCTGCCTTCCCACTCCATGTGCAAGGAATGACTCGGTACATAATTCTGCTCTTCTCCATTTTTAAGTTTGAAATGTTTTCTGAAATACTGAACTATGCAACAAAATTCTCAGCCTTTTAGCAGTGGTCTCTTGCTGCACAAATCTGGTTATGTGGAATCTCTGGGTCACAGAAAAGGCCATGGTGTTAATTACTTCAGTGGTGATGGTGTGATCATTTTCAATATGCTGAGATTTCTCATGAGATTTGTTTAGTAATCAAGGAATTTGAGGAAACTTTCAAGTCAATGAAATGGAGCCTCTTGGTTCCAGTGAGAGCASTGGAAGGTAAGAGAGAAGAGCACTTTTAGGGTTGATCTTGATGAGCTGCCTCCCTGACAGAAGAGGTGTCTGGCTTGGGTGATGTCTCTGGGAGCAGCAGAGAATTGGTCTTTGCCCAGTTCCTTTCCRTTCCAACAAACACAGCAGCGTTGTGGGAAGTGATTGAAACCCCCAATATTYCTGTTTCCATTKCACAGGAACTATTAAGCACAAGCCCCCTTGATTACTGTTGCTTTCTGTTGCTTCCCCAGTGGAATTCAAAACATCATCAACCAAAGCCCTTAAAAGATGTGGCTGTAGCTCCTTTTATCAGTGTTGGCTTGCCAAAGGCATGGAGTTTGTTCCCAGTTTGTCTTTGTGAGAAATTCTCTGAAGTGCGGTGATAATTTGTCTGGATGGCAACTTAAAGGAACTGTAATCTTTCTCTTTGCTYGATCTGTGTGGAGATTGTATTTTTTCTTCTTATTTCCCTTCAATTCTGGGTGATTGCTTCTGGCCCAG